GTGGCAAAGCGCTCTTCAGACTCTAAGAGATTTGACAAAATCACACTTGGAGGCTGGACTCGTCATGTTGAATCGAGTCGCGCATCCCGCGATCTTTTCTGCGAAGCATAATCTCTCCTTGTGGAAAATGTTGAATCGATTGGGGAACTTCCCTGAGGCAGATGTGATAGTTTACAACTCAAGCATCAGTGCTTGTGGGAAGGCGAAAGAATGGCAACGCGGCTGACAGGGTGGAACCAGTTCGTTTCAGTTTGCGGCGCACACGGTTTCAGTGATGGTTTGAGGACCCGGCGGCTTGGTCCTGTTCCTTGTTTCCACTATAAAGAGTGTAGTATCACTGGCACTATATAGGGTCTTTCACACTGGAGGTTCTTACGGCACCGGTTGTTTGATCGAGGTGCTCGCATTTGTGTCCGGCTAATTCGCTGCTATTTACGCAACATTCATTCCTCTCGAGATGTTTGAACATTATTGAATTGCGTTCCGACTGCACAGGCTTGCAGAAACTTGTGGGCGCGAGCGAGTGCATTCCTCATTTGTGCTCTCGTTGTGGTGCCGCGCACATTTTTTTTGGACTTGGTGGATACACTTCGGCGCGCTCTGATCTCGTGGCAGGATGCATTGTGACCTGTGGACAGGTTTTGTGGCGCAGCACTTTGTCAACCTCGACATGCAGATTCAGTGGCAGGCGCAGCGTTTTGTAAATCACGAAAGCTAGCCTTAGCTAGCTGGAGTTGCTCTTGCTTTAGCAAGTTAAGTGACGGGGTGGACGCACCTCAGAAAAACCTCAAATAATTGATTAAATCAATCTTATGGATCCCCCCCCCCCGGGGTTCGACTCCCCCCTGCGCGCGGTGAGCGGGACCACCAAGCAGCTGCAGCACACCAAGCATCTGCAATCTACCACCAAGCAGCTGCAGCAAACCACAAAGGAGCAGCAGCAGCAGAAGCAGCAGACCCAGAGCAGCAGCAGCAGCAGCAGCAGCAGACCACCCAGCAGCAGCAGCAGCAGCAGCAGCATACCAACCAGCGCCGCAGCAGCAGCAGCAGAGCACCCACCGCCGCAGCAGCAGCAGCAGACCACCCAGCGCCAGCAGCAGCAGCAGCAGCAGACGACCCGGCCCGGCTAGCTTTCGTTCACCCCCTCTGGCCTCAAGTGTAGAGATTTTGTGGCAAGGTCAGCGCTTTGTGAATGTCGAAGTGCAGATTTCGTGGAAGGTGCAGCACTTTGTCGCTTAGTGAAACTGAAACTCGAAGTGCAGATTTAAGTTCGTAGCAGTCGCAGCATTTTGTGAACCTGGAAGTGCAAATTTCGTGGCAGTCGCAGCGCTTTGGCCTGTGTATGTAGTTAGTTGTATGCAAATATAGGCACATACCACTGCTCTAAAGGCCTCCGGCAGCCTAGCCTTTGATTTTCTTGAGGTTCCTTCCTTTCTTCCGTCAGACCATTCTTCCTGTTCTTTTTGTTTTGCCTTTCGTTCCTTTCTCCTTTCCTCCTACTTTCCATTTGACCGCATGGGTCACGCATGGCGCTTTACGGCCTAATCACGAGAGCTTGCACCAGCTAGCTGGAGTTGTTCTTGCTTTAGCAAGTGAGGGGCTGGAATCCTCGAGAGCGCCGCATCGCGTGAAAACTTCACGCGTATAGGGAGCCCCTCCCGCGGGTTCAACTCTTTGGGACGTCTCTGGGACGTGTGTACTTCTGCTGGCATAATGGGCCGAGTGTCACCCGCTTCACCCCTGCCCTGCTAGCTTTCGTCACCAACCCTCGGCCTCAAGTTGTCTAATTAGCATACAGCTTAAGCCACTTAGTTTCCATGTTTGCTTTTGCGTTGGCGTTTGGAGATACATACTGCAGTCTTGGATAACTTGCATAGCTTACATGCAATGGCTCTTGGCAGTTCTGAAATACAGTGCAAATCGCATATTCACCTGAGCAGCGTTCAAAACCTGAATGCAAGAACCACATGATCCGATTAAACTGCAAGACTGTCGCGTAAGCTAAAGTCTGCACGGCGTAAGGTTTGCGTAAGGTTCGGTGGAAGCCAAGCTTGGGACACTCGATGCGTAAGAGGTGCGTAAGCAACTTTGAGTCTTCTAGTTACACAGCCAATATACTTTTTTTTGCTGAGAAACACTGCAAGCAGAAAAGGGTTGTGGAGTGGCCCACGACCACACGAATTCCGCGTAAGCCGATTCGTAAGGTTTGCGTAGGCGAACTTCTCAGATGAAGCCCTTTGCTCACGTCCACCAAAGGTTTTTTCTAAAGAAGCCAAAGCAAGCAGCTGAGCACTTTTCAAGCACAAAGCGCACTGTGACCCTCGCTCCAACTGCTTGGTCCCCATGGCTGACAAAAGAAGCAGCGGGCTCCACCAAGTGAATCATACAAGCAAAGTGTAAATTACTTTACTTCGAGTGATCCCCGGAGTGCCCACTGCGATCTGGAGCTTGCGGTTGAGGTCCGGGAGTGCCCACCGCTATTTGGCGCATGCTGTTGGAGTCCGGGATTCCCCACTGTGATCTGGCGCTTGCTCTAGTGAAGCGGGGCAGAGGAGAAGGAGAGGGATCATCTTCTAAAATCTACTGTAACCACCCTCACCTGACAGGTTGGGAACAAAGAGTGTTCACCGCTCTGGTGCCAAAACGCCGGTAACAAAACCGCCGCGTAAGAAACGCGTAAGCCCTAAGAGAAACAACATCACCGCGTAAGCGAAAACATTGGTAGCGTAAGCATTGCGGAAGCCGACGCGTAAGCAGAGAAGGATTATAAGGCCAAGACTAAAGGGTTTCGACCACCGCTCACCTCTAGACTCTGTAGCGTCAAGGCCATGAAGTTAAAATAACACTGTGTGTTCTTCGGCTTCAAGGGGTGCAGACATGTAACTTCGAATGTGGGAGGTCTGACGCTATATTTATTGAGGCGCCCTTCCCAGCCCAAATGAATATTGTTATGTTGGTAGAAAATTGTAACATCGATTTTGAGACCTCCAGCCTAAAACAAAGGTTACTGGGGTAGGGGTCCAGAGCCAGGTTACTGGACGCTGTAACTTGTGGCTGTGGCAAACACCGCAAACAAGACCTTACGCATGTAAAGTTGCAAAAAAAGAAAGCAATCTGGGGGCGGGAAGTGTAATAGTACATCTCGTAGGCCCAAAAAGAAAGATACATGTATCTAGCGTGACACGTTCCACCCTCAGAAATAGGGAAGCTGATGCAAACCGTAAGTTACAATTAATCTTCTCCCCTCGCTGAACCGTGGGGATCGTTTTGTTTGGTCAAGGCCCTTAAAAACAACACCAATTCTCCTGGTGGGCTTTGGAGTTTGGCAGCCTGTCCGTAGCACTTGTTTGTTTGCGGGGTTCCCATAGCTGAGGTTGCTCTGACGTTGCCTTTGTGTCGCACAGATTGCTCTTTGGTGGCGTGTCCGTTATTTCTCCAAGCAGTGTGCCTATACACTACAATAGGTGTTCTTACGGTGTGAGAGTCAAGGACGGGTGTCAGATCGGAGGCGCTCGCCAGTATACGCACATTCACTTCGAGATCTTCGAAGTGCATTCCGGCTGCGCAGGCTTCGCAGGATCTGGTGGGCGCTCTTCGAGAGCGCATGTTGGGACTTGGCGATGGCTTCTTTTCGCGGCAGGTCAGAGTTGTTGCGCGAGAGATCGGAACGGTGCAGATTTGTGGCAGGCGCAGTACTTTGGACAGTGACATATATGGCGGTGGTCTTCGGCGTGCCCTGATTTCGTGGCAGGTGGCCTGGCAGGCGCAGTGAATCGTGACTTCAGAAGCCTGGGAAGTCTCAAGCAAAGGCTGCATTTGGGCTTGGAAAGTGCTCCTGCTGCGAATCGCCTTGGCAGGGCTGTGGCGATGTGTTTCGAAGCGCGGATTTCGTGGCAGGCGCAGCGCTTTGTGGACCTTGAGGTGCAGATTTCAGGGCAGGTGCAGCACTCTGTTTGCGGACCTTGACAATTGATTGACGTGTGTTTTTTTGCCAGCGCAATACCTCCCTTGAAGTGCAGATTTCGTGGCAAGCGCAACTTTGTGAACCTTGAAGTGCAGATTTCGTCACAGGCGCAATACTATTTGTCCGCTATCACCACCATCATCAACACCATGATGATTGTCACAATATCACGACCACCATCATCACCGCCATCACCAGCATCACCATCAACAGCATCACCACCAGCATCTCCACCACCATCATCACCACCATCACCAACACCACCTTCACAACCATCATTACCACCATCACTGTCACCACCATCACCACCATCTCCACCACCATCATCACCGCCATCGCCAACACCACCTTCACCATCCTTACCACCATCATCACGTCACCTCCATCAACATCATCATCACCATGCACCATCATCACCACCACCGTCGCTAGCGCCATCACCACACTCTGACATTGGTTTTCAGTTAGTTCAATCCCAGGTCGAAAATGGTGAGGGAACGGCATGGTGAGAGAGTCAGTTCACTTGAAAGGTTGAACAATTGTTGCATTCAGCTGGCAAACTCTCGCGCGGCGGGCTGCAGCTCACGAGCGGC